TTGACAACGTGTGTCCTATCATCAAAACTTTGCCAAGTTAACTTTTTGTGTCAACTCTATTCTTTTACTTCTTTTCTCTTTTAGTTTGATTTCATTTGTATTGATATGACTTTGGTTTTAACCCAAAAATAATAATAATAATAAAAGAAGTGTTCACATGTAAAATTATTGTATTGTGAATTTGTGACTTCCAACATATCTTTCCTTTTCTTTTAGTCATACGATATCTCAATCCTCATATGGTGATGCTATACAACCAAAGCAGTAAATGGTTTTTTTTTTTTAACGGAATTAGCATATGTCCACTTTTTTTAATTATAAAACAAGCTACTATAAAGCAGCAAATGGTGGTTGGGAAAAATAGAAATGATTAATTTTTTAAAGTAAAATTATGAATTTAAAATAAATAAATCTCGTCAAATAAAATAGATCTCTTTAACTAATTAAGGATTACTATCCGACCCATTATCGCTCAACTCACAAATCCACATCTCACTTCAAATCAAATTAAATCAAACAATGCATATATACCGACAGATCATCCAACATATTGGACTCATTTAGAAAAGATCATCATTGTGTTTACAATTGCTATTCATAAAATTTTTCTTTTATGAAGTATAGCTCTTGTATATATAACAATCCAGTTGGAAGAATTTATCCAATGCGCTCAATAAGAGATGGAGTATGGGCAAAATTAGAATTTGAAAAAAATCATAAGGATAATTTGGTCATTCAAAAATCTATTCCTAAATAACAGACCCATTCTCAAGGTCGCTTGATAGAATGAGGATTATCTCAAATGAAGCTCATTCCGTTGAAATGACCTCTCTCATGAACCAAACCATATAATGAGCTAATCATTACCACTCTTATTCTCATTTCATTACCTCCCATTCTCTCAGACTAAATGAGGCTTCCAGAGATTAGACTCTACTGTTCGTAGATCATATCCCTTGCCTAAAAAATAATCCACATTCTAACTTTTTGAGAGTCATCCTCTATTGAAAATTATTAAGAAAATTGGAATTTTATCATAAAAAATTGAATGGTTACTTTTAAACATGAGTTTGGAAAAGCTAATAGATATATCAATATGTTAGCACATTAGGCATATAAAAATAATTTAGATTTTCTTATTTTTAATCATCCACTTTTAGGATATAAAATCCTCTTAGAATTTGACATAACCTAATTTTTGTATTTTTTTTTTGTGTGATTTTTTTTTGTGGCCTTATATTAATAAAAAATAATTCCCATTCCAAAACTTGGGGAAATTGTGATAAAAATCCATAAGGCACTAACAATTACTTGAAGTTAGATCCTTTGGCAAATCTTTAAAATCCACTGATCTCTATCAGCAAGCACTCACAAACAATATTATATGGTAAAGGTATTCAAATGATCAATAAAAAAATTAATAGATATTAAAGTTATTTAAAAAAAAGCATAGACACTTTTAATGATTGCATAAAGTTACATATCCAATAAAACTTAGACAAACAGTTCCACCGATTATGATACAGACGGATTTCCAGAGAATACTACGTTTCGGTTGAATGTAAAGACCAAAATAGAGACCCGGAAGTATCCTTCAATAATAATATCCACTTGATTTGCTTTATACCCAAAAAGCTTGTATTATTAAATATTAATTATCATAGGATTGTTATCATTCAATTACTCCTCTCTTATAAAAGAATTTCCAAGTATGAGAATTATTTTTTAGTTCTTTATTTCATCCTTTACTATCATTATTTATCAAACATTTGTTACATATATATAAGCTACCTTGAACTTTTGTTTTGTTTTGTTTTTTCTTTTTTTTTTGAGCCAAGTTCCCTTGAATAGGATATGACTAAAATTAGAATCGATAATTTAGGCTAAACTAAAAAAATCTTATAGCCAAGTTTGAAAGTTTATTTTTTTTTTTTACTTCAATCTTATTTGGACTGCCTAAATAAGCTCAAAAAAATTCGAGCCAAGCCTAAACTCAAATATGTTTAGCCCAACTTCCCAAATTTTTATTATTATTAATAAAATAAAATTAAAAAAGATAAAAAATGAAAAACTTAATTTTTTTAAGATAAAACTTGAAATTAAAAAAAAGATAAAATACTATTTAACAATTCGGATATTTCTACCCTTCCAAATAAACCTAAAAACCCAAGGTGTTATGATTGTGCTTGACAATATAGTTTTTCTAATATGTTCGAATGTCATAGATTCGATTTGAATAAATCCATCTCAAATAAGTCCAGCCCGCCTAAATTACTGGTTCTACCTAAAATCAATACAACTATAAAATATAAAAAGCATAGAAAATCACTCTAATTACAAATCAAGAATTGTGTGATTAATTATTTGAATTCTCTTTCAAATTCAAAGTTTGGACTTTATAAGCTGAAGACATACATAGCCGGCTTATGCTCCAGTAAACAAAAATGGCCAGTATGTGATTTGTTTGGCTGCTTGTGTTTGACCTATTATAGTTCTTGGAACATTGCTACATGTTTTCTTGAAACTAACTGCTTTCGGCCTTGATACAGACAAATAAATGTACATCTGAAGATAATCAAGGAAACTAAAACAATAAACATTCTGGCATTAGGCAGTTCATGTCACATTTCACATAAGATTCACGGTATTAAAGTTCTATATATTACTTCCTTTAATCCTTATTTATTATGAAGACCTACTAACAACTTTACATAGAGTAATGAGTTCTGTTTAAATTAATTAATATTTTCAAATTATCCTCAATAAAGTTCATTTATTAAATGAAGCTTAGTCATGAAGTTTAGTTGGTTAAAGAATATATCAAAATATATCCAAGTAAGGGATATTTAGCGAAAAAATAAATGTTTGACAGTTTTATATTAAGAAACATGAAGGGTCACAGGAGGATGTAATTATACTTTCACTTAATGACGTCGTAGCAAAATCCTCTCTAAGAAACATGCTAAGCTACATAAATATACTCATTCTGTTTCTTAATATAAGATAAATTTTAAAAACCTTTTTCAGTCATTAATACAGGGCAAAGTTAGAATAATTAATTTTAGTTTTCAATTTTACCTTCTTTATTTATGATGGTTTGAATTCCAAAGAATGACTTGAAAACTGAATTAGATGGTCAGACTCGGCTAGAAAGAAAAAACTGTGTGAGGAATTGAGTCGTTTCAAACTGTCAGTTAAATTGCAAATCAAATTCGAGCCGAGAATTGGATCACGTTTTTAAAAATTGGACGGTTTTTTTTTTTTTTTTTCCTTTTTGAGCCCTAAAAAAAGGTAGAGTTGCCCATGTTTTCCTTTTTTTTTTCTTTTTTTTCACTGTTTGAGCTTGGAACTTATTCAGTTCTTTGACTTTGCTCCTTCTCTACTCTCATTCTCTGTGACTTTAACAGTATGGCTAAGCGATTCCCTTCCTCTTCCCCTATTGATCGACGTCGACCACGGCACACTGTTTCCTCTTCTTCTTCGTGGTCATCGATCTATCCTCTTCCTCGACCACGGTGCTATATAGTGAAAAAAGAGTGACAGTGCAGAGCAGCGACACAATCTTCCTCGTCCTCACCAATCTATTGTCGTTGACCATGGGACACACCGAAGCCAAGGTAGCCATTGACGCACTGGACAGTGAGTGAACACAGAATCACAGAGTGACAGGGCAGAGCATCCGCTTCTTGTCATTTTCTTCATCCTTTCCGATTGTTTTGAATTCTGAATCTTCTGATCTTCTTCATCTGTCTGGTTGTCTGCTTCATCATCTAAGTAAGTTTTATGTAGTTCAAGATTTCAATTCCTTAGAAGTTCAAATTTATTATTGTGGAGCTGTCTGGCTGTCTGATCACTGTGTAGAGACATGAACGCCTTTAATCAAGTTATTTCTTTGTTTATTTGTTTGTTTATTTATTTATTTATTTTTAAATTTCGATACACATACCGAGTCAAGAATTGAACTCGCCTTCTCAATCAGTGTTCATCACTTGCTGGTCTAACTCATAGTCATCCGATAAAATGGCTATTTTTTAAAAAGAGAATTATAATTAAGTCCCACATAAAGAGATTAATTACTGTAAAATTTATTAACAACTAAAATAAATTGCAATAAAAATTACGATTCCTATTGTCAATGCAGTTTACTTTAGTTATCAATGAATTTTATAGTAATTAATTTTTTTGTATGAGACTTCAATATAATTATCTCTTTTTTAAAACAAAAATGAGGTCCACATTTCATTGATTCCTTCGCAAATTTAATTGAATAACTTGGCGGAATGGTCAAATGTTGTACTAGATCCCCCATAACATATTATGCACTTTTCTCAACTGTAATGATCATATCAAAAGTATATATGCGTGCATATCCTGAAGTTGAAGTTCACTATTTGACTTGATATTTTAATCATTTAATATTTTATTTATAATATATAAATATATAATTTTTTAATTTAATTATTACATTACCAGTTCAATTATTGGTCAAATTCAATTGGACCATGCAAATCATAAACCACTAGCCTCTTCGGTTTAATGTCCAATCTGATTCTAAAAACATCAATTCTAGGACAACAATTTAATAAGATTATAACATTGATTTCAGGACAACAATTTAATGAGATTATTAATTTTAAAGAAGGGAAAAATTAAAAAGTTATACTCTCTCTGTTAAAAAATGTAAAGCAATTTTTCAAAGTTAGATGCTAAACATTTTTTATTTTTTAATGTGTAATCATTACTCTTTTTTCAAAAATATCCCTATTAAATAAATCATTTTATATTTATTTTAAGGTAAAACATCCTATTAAATAAGGATAAATATAAAAAAATAAATTTAATTTAAAAATAAATAATTACTTTATTAAGAGATGAAATTCAATTAAAAATACCTTATACTTTTTAAAAGAGAGAGTATATTGTTTTTACAATTTTGAATGTAACTTTCTTAATAAGCATGAAGTTGAATAACATTGCCCCATATTAAACATCAGAGAAAGTATTTAGAAGACCAAAATCTAGAATAAAACTCAATATCTCTTCAAAACATATAGAGGACATGATATGCTAGTGACCAATGACACCTAAAGTCCTAATCCTAGAAGGAAGATACTTAATTTTCAGTAACATACAGCAGAGTCTGAAATTTTTCTTTTTTCTTTTTTTGCATCACAAGTTAAAAAGACTTTCGAGTTCAATAGAAAGGCAGTATAACTGATAACAGTGTAACTGGCACCATAGTTATTGCCAACAACTGTCTCCTTCGTCTCAACAGATTTCTGAGAGCAAATCAAACATTTTCATGGCAGCTGGATGATGATTACTCTTTTCAATTTTATTTATAAGTCACTTTCAACATGTTTTATCATAACAAAAAAACCTTTAAAATTCTTTGGCTGTCTAAAAATTTAATAAATTTCTAATTCTGCCCCTATTAATTTCTCTCACTAATATGTAACAAGGAGTAAAAAGGAAAACTTGTATGTAATAAAAATTTAATGATGTGACTTATAAATAAGATTAACAAAAAAACAACATTTTCTCTCTACCTTATTAATATGACCTGAGGGAGTAATTTCGAAGCCTTCAACAATGACAACTTCGCTGTATTTTCCAGCAACTAGCACAATAACAGAAACAATACTTGGGATATACCATATCTGTCCCAAAATGCACTAATTGACACCATTATCCAGCAACTATCATCATTAAATCATTTAATGCAACCCATCATGAGGTGGTTCATGGTCCAAAACCACCCTTGGATATACCATATCTGTCCCAAGATGCACTAATTGACACCATTGATGACCCTTTCTCAGCATGAAGGAAAAAATTGCTATTACAGGGCATGGGAAGCCAACAGAATGAGGAACAATCAGATATGGAGGTCGGATGGACAGTTTCAACCAGAAGGATCAGTTTTCATAGCCTTTAGAAGCTCATAGAAGCTAGCTCCTAGATTCTTCAAGTCTTGCAAAATCCTGCCAAGGGTGGGTCCAGTTGCTTGCAAACTGAACCTACCAAGGGATTCAAAAATACATCACACTTTTCATGCATCTCTTAAAATTTTTTCCTTGTCCTACTACAGCTCACCAGCAGAAATGCCTCATTATTGAGAGAAGCTGAATCCTGAGAAGATATTACAAAGAAGAGCTGTGCAGAAAAGTAGACCAACAACAGAACTGCTGGTTCAATGGAAGGAGTTACCAGATGAAGCAGCCACTTGGGTTCAACTCTGATCACCAACAGGTTCATAAGGCGAGTCTTACAAAGTAATTAAATTGGTGGTAGCTGTTGAGAGAATTGGTTAGTTAGAGTTCTAACAAACTAACTAACTAACTCCTTTAATAGCCATGTAATAGGAGGAGGAAAGTTGACGAATTTCAGATTTCCTATTATCTCGCTCCTATTTCCTGTTAGCAGATTCTGACTTAAAAAGTGAACTTAGTATGTCCTATAGTTATTTCTGGACTTAGATCCCAAAAAGAGGTTACAGATTTATGTCAATAGCGCTCACATAGCCTCTAAACTGGTCTTAGAACATCAGAAATACTTTCTCCTACATGAAGACAAGATGTTGTCAGTTTGATGACATCAAGTACCATGTAAGAGCATATTTGAACTACAATCAACATCACTACAGATGCTTGAGAGATATCTTGTATATTTGTAAAATGGATCGCCTATTATTCTTTGTGTAGAAATCGGCAGACTTGTTCAAAGAAAATAGGTTATGCAATGCACCAAAATACAAATCAGTTTAATGAATCTACGTGAAACATACATATAAAAGCAACTAAGATATTCCTAAAAGACATTTCTTAAAACATCATTTCAAGCTTTTTTCTTTCTTTGTATGGCAAACAGCTTTGCACCCCAAATGATCATAATCTTAAAATAACTCCATCGTTGCAGAACTGTAAGATGGAATTTATTGATGCCACGTATTGGAAAAGTAAAGTATGTTTAATTGAAGAATAATGAAAACAGTCAAAAATTAGGGAAGAGAAATCAGTGGGAAAATGAAGGGGCGTTGTTGAACCAAAATGCAAATCTAGATATGGCATTAAATGAATGTTTTATTTCATAAGCTTGAACAAAAGAGGATAGGTAAAACAAACTTGATAGAGCCAAACCACAGATCCTGCAAGCTTTGGCTCAAACTATTGGTACAATTGAATGATGTTTGGGAGATTTAAGTATTCCTCATCCATTGTCCCACTGAAGTGGGATTTGGTGCATTTGGATGTATCGATATTCAAGTATTAAGAAGCATTTCTCAAACAAAGCACCAAACCCATTTAAAAGCATAATTAGACCTATAAACTTATCAAATGCCCAGAATTCATGTGTAAACACAAAGTTTGCAAAACCAAAACGAAAAGAGGCTCAAACATAATTCTAAGGTAATACCAACTTTTATCTGCTAACCAATACATCAGATAGCAGTGCATAATCTATAGTTCAAAGCTTTTATAAAATGTTCATTGTTATGCTTCTATGCACATGAAACACAAAAGGGTTCAGGTTGTCTCCAAATCAAATCTTGTTCCTTCCTACTTTGTGTGCATATGGAGGAGACACGGCCAAAAGATCAGGAGCGAAGCTTGACCATCACATCACAATATGAGCTTAAACTTTTTTGAGGAAAAAATTTTAAACCATCAAGCTAATACATTCTTCCATTTTCATAGACAGGGACTATGGATGGAAAGGAAAAAGAAAGGAAGAGATGGGGCTGACAGCCCATTCTGGCTTGCTCTAATATGTCTGCCATAGTTTGCAGATTTAACAAAGCTACCATTGGAAATGAAAACTGTAGGGATGCCCTACCAAGTTACAGTTCAGTCAGAATACAACACAATGAAGAATAGAAAGTATATTGAAAAGTTAACTCTTGATAGGAAGGAATTTCTCATCGCAGAGAATGAAGAGCGATGAGGCAATAAATTAACACTCCCCATGATTTAAGAAATACCTTTTTATGAAGCAACAGTATTAAGTTACTTACAGTTTTGATTTGCGCTCATAATTACTTTTCAAAACACATAGATAATCTTTGAGCTCATAGTGCATAAACAGAACAATAATTAGTAACAGTTAAAGATCTCAAAACAGGGGTTAAGATGGAAATTTTAGTATTATTAGTTATTACAGAAAACTAGCTTATACAGCCGGCAACCCTTTCTGGTCTTCTTTCAGATATGCCTAACAAAATCAACAGATACAATAATCATACGATAGGAAGGGAAAAAAGAATGGCTAAAGGGATGTCTGAGAGTAACTTTTTCTATCCAGAGTAGAAAAAAGAATGATGAATGGAAAGCATGCTGTGGGTTACTCAAAAGAAAGGTGCACAAATTAACCTCAGTAGCTTGAGTTCCCTGTTACACACCATAACGAGTCATTGATTTCTTTTCTTTCCTTTTTTTTTTTTTTTCCTTTTTTTGGCAATCTATCAACTATTCTGACAAATCAAAACATGCAAGAAATAACATGAATATAAATCCAGCTAACATTTTCCTTGACTTTGAAGGGATGTTCAAAAAATCCATAGAAACACAAAGACCCGTTTCTCAAAATTTTATATAAGCATTCAAATTACAATGAAAAGAAAATACCCTCAAGAAATCAAAGCCTCAAGAAATATACAGAATACAATGGCGATGTAGTAAAAGGATAACTGATGAGAAGATAGCCCACAGACAAGTTACCCACCAGCCCATGAATAAAGCAAGTTCCTTGATGAAAGCAGAGGAAGGCAGTATGCTAAGTAACAAAGGGAAACTCTCAAAGGCATGTTCATCAATCTGAGATAAGCCAAGAAAGAGAAGTACCAGCACTGGAGGTGCAAGAAATTGTGACGCTACAAGACACAAATAGTGGTTATGCAGAAACACCTTCGCCCTGCTATAGTCCAACTCAGGAATCTTGCTAGCATGAAGCCTTTGATACCATGATAACAAAGCTTCATTGAGATACATTTGCAGACTTGGGCGCAATGCCAAGATCTGCAATAAACTCGACACCAACAAACACCATCGCCTTAAGTTATTAAAATCAGAGCGGAAGAGCCCCATGTATCCTACCAATTTATCAGCACTGCCAACTTTACTCATTGCATTTGGCCTCTCACCCTCACTGCAGTCAGTGTATACAAAAAGTTCAGCTAATGGACTAATCCATAGCAATGTCACAAATATGATTAAGATGTGACTTGCATATAGAATTGTGCGAGTGAACCATCCACAAGTTATCATAGATAAACTGCAACGAAGCTGATCAGTTCCAAGCCAGAATGAACGTGCACTTCTTGAAGCCGGAATAAACAGAACAGCTGAGAGAAATCCCATTAAGGCAGCAATACAAAGCCTTCCATGCCCATCAACTGGAGAAAAATCGAAGTCCAAACCCGGGAAAACATTCGATGAAAAACCTAAAAGCCCAATGAAAAATCCTGAAACCCCAAAAACTACACTCAATTGCTTTTCGGACCTCCTAGATGCCGACTTCTCAAAAGTAATCTTCATAAGCAACAAAAACCAAATACCCAGACCTACAATTGTCAACAGAATAGGAACAAAAACCCCACTTTCTAAAAACCCAGAATTCTCTGCCACACCCAAGAATGTGCGAAGCAACAGACAAGCAATAGCAGTAATGGAGACGGTAAAAGCAATGCCATACTGATCAGCAAAGAGACGAGATTGGAGATGACCCTGGTCCAATTTCAGCCTGAAGATCTGTGCTTTGTTTTCATCGAAGTCGATCTTTTCCTTGGACTTGTTCCTCTTCCTGAGCTCAGCACTGGTTTTTGAGGATAAAGATTGATAACCCTCGGGCCCAGAAGCGGCGCTGGAAGTGCCGGGTCGTCGAATAGCAGCTCTGAAGCCATTGTTCTGAGTGAAGTTATCTGGGTGGATATAGGAGTGTATGCCATAAAGGAAAAGAATAGGGATTTTGAAAAAAGTCAGGAAGAAAGCAAGAGTTGCAGCGAGTGATAAGTGGAGTATCTGATTCTTGTAGAACAGAAGCAATTGAAGCATTGTTGTGTGCACAGATCGTCCTTCCGGGTGGGATCTCAATATTTTGACATGAAAATGGTGTTTGTGTTGGTTGATACGGATTGAAGAAATGATTGGTGTCTGATATACGCTTGACCTATTTGCTGCTTCGATATTCGAATATGGGAATGCTTCCCAAAGGCTCAAAATTGGAATAGGCCGTGGCCGAGGAATTCTTGAGCAGGGGCCAGGGGGCGATAAAATTCTTGGGCTCACGGCAGACGGGCAGAGTAACGGTATGCTTTGAGGTTTTCCACGGAAAAAAAATGTCTAAAGTTTGGCTTTTTTAAAAAAAAAAATTTAGTTTAAGTGTGGAAGTCTGCAATTTCCCTTTAATCATCAATGATCAATGCTACTTTCTCCAGTCTAATTTTACTTGTATTAAATATGCATAATTTATCTCATTAACATTTATTAAAAAATACTCCCTCCATTCTAATGTATGAGACATTTTAGATAAAATCATGCATGCTAATAAAAATAATTAAATTCAATAATGAACCAGAAAAATTTAGTAATAAGAACAATATTTATACGAAAAATATTAATATTTTTTTAAAACTATAATTCTAAATTTAATTAAAGTAATATATAAATAAATTATATGAGAAGCTTAAAAATATATCTTAATTTTATTTATATCATAAATTTATTTTTATAATAAATATAAGAGTAAACGATATTTTTAAATATTTATATTTGATAATTTTAAAGAGAATGCAGGGAAATTATTTTTTATGGGGCAATTGTAATTTTAAAGGGAGGCATGTGTGACTTTGACCAAAAAAAAAAGTGTAATTTTTGCAAGCTTCATGGGGGCAATTGTCCCCTCCTTCCTTAACTTTGGTATATGTTTATAATTTTAATAATTTTATTTTTTTAAAATAAAAGTGTAAACTTTTAAAAGTTCCTTTTATTTAATATTTTATTTATAAAAGAATATCAAAAAGAGACAATATAATGAAAAAGGTAATACTAAAAAACATCATTAGTGAACTTTATTTTTGTCACAGTATTTTATGCCATGCATCATTGAATTTTCTCTAAAAATATTTTATAAATTAGAACAAAGAGAATAAAAGAAAAACATGTGATAAAGTTAATAAAATGCCTTACAAATATGATCCCAAAATTATTATATTTCTACTTTATAAATAGAATTAGAAACTAGCATCTACTACTGACAGCAAATTAAAGTAATTTTGTCATTTAGGAAATGAATAGTTAAAGATTGAAAATAACTTGAGTAATGATTTTTAAAATGTTTTCTCCCCCTGCCAAAAGTTGAGTAATGATGTATTGCTCCAGAAATTTCTTATATTCAATTCTCCCGTTGTCTCATTCTTTTCTTAGCTGCCAAGAAAACAAAAGCTTAGTCCCATTTTTACCATGAAGTATTATAAAATAATATTTTGGAAAATTTTCTATCAAAAGATCCAAAAAAAGCTTAAAAAATAAAGTATTACAACATGTTAATAATAGATTGTGTTTTTAATTTAATACTTATGATTATAATGCTTCATTATATGGAGATTTTGTTGAACTCTAAAATATTATGCAGGTTGAAACATAAGGGTATTAGACTCATGCATGGTATTATCTTAAATGTTTTTATTTTAATATTTTCTAGCTAAATTTTTTTTAACAAAAGATGGAGTTATATAAAAAATGCCTAAGTTTACCCAAAAAAAAAGAAGGCCTTAGTTTTTAAAAAAATGATTTTACTAGTTAGAGAAAGGCACATTGCTTAATTTGGAGTAAATTATAAAACCCCTTCTTTCACTAATTTTACCAAAACCCCTCCTTTCACTTGACTAGAGACCTGTGGAAAGGCTTCTGATTTAAGAGCTAGATTTTAATAGATTTTTTTTGGGGGGAGGGGGTGTGCGCTATGGGTTTGTTTGGTTCAATTTTTTGTTTATATGTTTTCAAAACAGTTATGTAGAGTAATATTTTAGAATAGGTTTTATAAAAATTAAATAAAATATATTTGAATCATTATTTAAAAAATATCTAAAGTAGTTAAATAAACAGTGAAAGAATTATTTATTTTATTAACATAATTGTCATTAATAAAATATTATATTATATTTCTTTTATCTATTTTTGCAAAACAAAAAGTAACAAAATATCAAAAAAATATTCTATTTTTTTGTTTTTTATTTTTTATAACAACTTTTAACTTTTTAATTTTTCAAAACAAATAACAGAAAAAATATTTTTAAATAATTTTTTATTTTTTAAAACAAAAAACTATTATGAAAATAGAAACAAGTCCTAATATTTTTACCTATTGATTCAAGTAAATTATAAGTTCGAGTGTAATTTGATTTAGAAATATGATAATTAGTGAATTGATAATGATAGTGCATAAGACTACACATGGGTAGGGTTTGACTGGGCTAACATTGAACCTGAAGCTCGACCCTAAAGATGGACGAGCTATGTTTGTTAACTCAATGGCCGACCATGCCCAAAGATTGCCTAAGATTTCTATGGTCAAGCAGGGAAGGTCAGGCACTAGGGTAGGGTTGGGCTAGTTAGTTTGTCTAGCACCTATTCCTCCCCCCCCCAACCTAAATATTTGGTGTTTTAGGCCCTTAGATCAATAAAGTAAATGGAAAAAACATGGACCAAGACCAACTTGGGTTGTATGTATTGTATATGCACATCTTAGAGGAGAAGGATAAATATATCAATTTAACAAACAAACATTCATGTAATGAATCAATCAAAAAGTTCAGATCTAATAAAAATATGCCTTATGCATTGATAGAAATACCATAGTATGATGCATATTTCTGGCTATAGTATGGTGCAAATCAAAATCACTCTAGCATGCAATTTTGTTTTTTAGGCCACCAACATATAAAAAGTTAAGCACTCACAAATCAATAATAAACAATAATTAAAGAATTTGAGATTCAAAAAAATAAAGAAAGAACCCCAAACAAATTATACTAATTTCTTCTCCCTATAAATAGCAAAACAAAATGAACAAAAATTCAGAGCAAATGAAAATGGTCTAAAATTATGACCTGAAGCCAAAAAAAATGCAACCAAAATACAATAAGCCATAAACTCAAAGTCTCCAACTACAGTCATTCATAATATGATACTACTATAGTCATAACTAGATAGTCTAGTCATCATCAAAATATAATCATCCAACATCCATACTCAAAATAAAATATAGTCATAAAAACTAAAAAGAGGAAACTAATCAAATAGGACCACCCATAGGACCATTTGACCTCAATCACCAATGGTTTATAGACCACTTTGTGTTGCTCCCTTATTGACCATGATAGTGGTGGCAGTGGAAATATATGAAAATACAACAAGAATAATCAAATTACGAAACACTAAAGAGTATATAAAAATTAAATTAAAGCTGAAAGATGACCATATTGAATAACATCTTATGTTACCTCAAAGTTGTCAAACTTGTGCAATTTTACAGTAACTTCTAAGACATATTGCCTTGGGTTAAGCCATTTTGAGTACATATAAGTGCTTTAGTCATATGAGGTGATAATGAGCTTCTATATTGATCAACTATCCTCCTTCTGGTGCTAAATGCATATTCAGATGCAACTTTTAAAAATGGATTGCTAATGTCTTGTGTCATCAAAGACAAAATTTTGTACTTTATAGCATTTGTTTTCCACCATGATAATATATTAAAATCCTTAATAAAGCCATAAAGGATATAATTAATTATATCAATTGCCAGATATTTGTCCAACTCAAATTTTTTAGGATCATAACACCTAGATTTTAATCTAAGTAACTAGTTACTAATCAGGGGTAGATTAGTACTAAGTAAAGTAATTGTGATTTTGCATAGAGAGTTATTGTATGATGCTGATTGATTGGTGTGGTTATAGGATTGGATGGAATAATAGTGATTCGAGACTTAATACATGAGCACTAGTGAGATTTGGCTCACTGTATCACATGTCGTGGCATATGCTGCATGTGCCACAATGTATGCCATAGAATTTACTTAAAGCTGACGTGATCAGCTCCTGAAATCAATAGGAGAAAGTGAGAAAAACACACCAGGAGAGGTGAGAAAGCTTGTCTCTACTAGGGCTTGAATTATCCAGTGATCAGGAGTTTGCTTCGGCTAATGACTTGACAAGTAAGTTTCATATAGCCTTATACTACGTTTCTACCCTATTTTCTATAAGTTTGGTTGATAGAGAAATTGAATCAGGAAGTTTTAAGGAATTGAAATCTAAGGGAATGGTTTAAAAAGGGCTTTTGAATGTGAAATGAAGGTTTTGCAACTAGTCTAAAGTTTAATCAAATGTGAAACTAAGGTTTTGCAAGTAGTCTAAAGTTTAATGGTTGAATTCTAAGGATATAGGCTTAATTAACCTAAATGATTAGGCTAAAATAGAGAAAATTGGTAAATAAAGGTGTTTTGATCATTTGAGTAGCTAAGGGCAAATGATTGTAGAGAAAGGATTATATGAACTCACAGGGTGTTAATTGAGTTGTTTTATGCATTTAGGGGTTTGATTTAGCCAAATTAATGCTTGTTCTAAGTGTAGAGAACTAAACAAGGGTGTTCATTATGTAGATTAAACATTCCAAGATTCTTAGAGGAAGCTGACGTAAGTTGGGAAGTTAAACAAGAATAATAACACTTGGTAATAAGGGTAAAAGGTAACTGGAGTAACCTTTTTACTTGTTCATTTGTAAAATTATATACAAGCATTTCATATAAATATATGCATTGTGTTTATGAACTGGTAGAGTAGCAGTATTGGGAAAGAGTTATGCATGCGGCAATGTAAGTAATGCTTGAAATGTATGAGAAGAGACATAAGCATAAACATATGCATTTGCATCCACGAGCATACTCTAGACTAGGGAAGGAGGTCGTAGCCCCACTTTGTGCAAGGCTAGGAAGTCCTAAAGGTCTTAAATGTAACGTGTAACATCATGAATTTCTTAATCGCATTATTAGTTATTAATTGAGGGTAAAGTAGAAATTAATGTGGGATTAAATATTTTAATGGTTATATATGATTTGACTCATTAGGATATTGTATGAATATATACAGGTAGAAAGAGTGCATTTCAAATCGAAGCAAGTGTGTGTGGTGATAATTAATCTCATTATGCTATATGTTGTAGCTTGTGCTACATGCACCACAGTGCATGGACTAAAAAATGACTTTTTAAGTCATGAAATAT